GGTGGCCAAGTGGGTGTGTCTCAAACAGTTGGACCCGCCCTAACAAATGGTGCTTTCCCCTTTGGCTTCCCTTCGAAAAGCTCAAAGGGTACCAACTCCAAACAAAACACCCAACTGTTCCCCTCATATGGCTGTGGCTCAAAAACATGTGCCAAAATGGCAACTTGGCAAATGGAACCGAAGACTAAAACCTGCGTAACCCTAGTTCACTAATTTTGAGCCACACCCACATGGAGGGTTTTCGCTTGGGTCGGGATAATCACTGGCGGTTTCATCCGGGTGCTCGCTGCCTGCCAAGTTCATAGGGTCCACGCCACCTGAACTGCCCACCCCTTCTGAATGAGGCCCGTCTCGGGGAAAACCAGGGAGAGCCAGTTGGGCAGGTTGGTCTAAGCAATCCCGTAGGAAAGAACCTTCATGGGTGAGCTCGGTTTGCTCCAAATGAGTGTTTCTTTGTTGAGGGGACCCACAAATTGTGTGGTGTTCCTTTTAGTTTCCCATTAAGGAGACACAAAAAATGGGTACCCCACAATCGGGGAGCGAATCAAAAACACATGCCCATCCACGCACCGCCTCTCTCTCCAGGCGCTTGTGGACCATGTTGAGCCTCGCTGCTTTTCTCCGGGAGCAAAGCGCCGCCGTCACAGTGTGGCTATCCCACCATTTTGGGGGGTCCCCTTAAAGAACACACCAGTTTGGGTGTTTCTCAAAATTACTGTGGACGGACGAAATGATGACTTGTTGCACCACCGTTCAGAGACCCTATGATGGTGTCAGCCATGGTTTCAATGTGGCGCGAAATGGATTCCGTCCATCTCCAAATCTTCCCTCTACTTGGTGGTGTCCCTAAACCCCTGAACTAGGGGGGAAATCTCCAAACCACCCATCCAAGCCACCAACTAAAGGGTACCTGAAAAATTGGGGAACCCTCCAAGAGATTGTTTTCCTCTTGGGTTTCCTTTAAAAAGCTTTCCAAAAAAGAAAGTCCCTCCTTTTGAGACACACCCATATAGCCCTCAATACCACACATTGTTCTACCAACACCTAGTATTTGATACCATGTCATGGTCCGTTCAAAAACAATGATAGTAACAGAATCTACACAGAACCATGTGCAGAATCAAGAGAGCAGCCGCTTCGATTCCCGGCTGAAACTGTCTTCTAGCCTGATTTCGGTTGTGGCTCACATCACAGGGAAACTTCCTGACTCCACCTGAAGAACTAACGCCTGGGCACAGGTGCCACACAATTGCCAAGCTCACCATAAGATGGTCACAAGAATGTTCGTCTTGCATTCTATGAACAAAACAGAAAACGGATCCAAAACCAAGCCATCCTCTTCCTGAGGACCTTGATGGGCCGGGCATGGGTCGTTTCTGTCAGCTCCCATGTTTTTGGTTGTTGTTCCCCAGATAGCTGAAAGCTATAGGGGTTCTAACTTCTAATAAGGGGGGAAAGTGATTTGCGAGATTGAGGGCGGGTGCTGGGGGGGAAGCAGTTTGGGGTGCTGGTGGAGGTGCTGTTTTGCGAGCTTGACGGCCGGGTGCTAGGGGGCATGCAATTTGGAGTGCCGGTGGAGGTGCCGCTTTGCGAGATTGGGACGTGACCGGTGCTGGCGCGGGTGCTGCGTTGGTGAGCTGTTGTGGCTGCTGTTTTGGGGCGTTGGCGACGGTGGGGTGCTAGGGCGGGTGCTGTTTGGGGTATCGTGGTTGTCGCATCATCATGATGCTGGCCGCAGCATCATGATGCTGTCCGCAGCATCATGATGCTGTTAAACCGATTCGGACGTTGTTGCTGCTCTAACTGTCAAAGCGAAATGGTTCGTGGCTGGTGTATCATCATGATGTTGTCAACCACGTCACGATGCTGCTGCAATCGCTGCGATGCGTTCTGGTTCGCGGGTGTGGCGGCGGCATAATGCTGTCAATATCAGGATGATGCTGAATTTCCTTACACTGTCGCAAGATGATTCGTGGCTGTCCGCATCATGGTGGTGCTGTGAGTGTCATCATGATGCTGTCCGCATAACCATGATGCTGTCGAACTCATCAGGACGTCGTCTCTGCCTTTTTTCTGCTAGATCTGTAGTGTGGAATCGTTCGTGGCTGGTGTATCGCATCATCCTGTCAACATCATCGTTTTGCTGCTGAACTCACTAGGACGTTGTCTGCGGGTCTATTTAGCGCACTATGCTAAGTAGCTGTGCTATCCTCATGATGCTGTCAACATCATCAAAATGCTGACAATATCATCATGATGCCGGGGGAACCAAAAGGATGTTGTGCATGGTTCGTAGCCGTGGTGTGCTATCTGGGGTCTATGCTGGTGTATGTTTTTCTTTTTTCTTGTTCTTTTTGCTTTTCTTTCGACAGGTCAACAGATGTCGGACCTTTCCGGACCTACTGCGTTTTCGGATGGCCTCATGCTGCACCACTGATCCCTGATCCAGACTCCACAGATCTGAGCCCGTCCAGTTCTTTCAACCCTGGGGCTTTGACCA